GTTATTCGCTAATGTAATTTATTCACAAGATAACTTTTAATGCCATACTGTCAATTTTTCTAAGCAATGACCTTTAACATGTATGGAGTGTATAGTTATTTCTTACGAAGTGCCAGAGCTGCTGTAGCACTGAGGAATGAAGCAGTCAAAAAGATGTTTACTGAAATGATTAGAATGAGGCTGTAGAGTGACTAGAGCCAACAATGAGGAATTAGAAGGTCTGTACTCAAAAAATACAATACTTGAAATATGACAATGACATATTTGTACATATTTCACTTAATATACTTTAAAACCATTTAAAATACATAAGGATATGTACAGTACTTTGCAGTTTACAAATCTGCAATACACAACAGTACAGTTTCCCTAAGCTATTCTGGGAACACTGATGCAACAGCAGCAGGCTCTATGGCCACAGCACCTGTACATTTGGAACTAGACATGTGTTGTGATCAGTGCCTTACCCAATATAAGCAACACATGTATAAAGGCTTAGAGCGCCCACTTCAGGTGAATTATGAGTTCCTGTCTTTAGCTGTCTCATTATATACATACAGATCTGAATTCCATACCCTCCTTCTTTACCATTAAAAAAATGTAAGCAGTTCACATTGTTGAAAAGGAACTGTACTTGTTATTTACTCTAAAATAAGTTCTGTTTTGTTTTAGTTTTTATTTTTTGCAGTGGTTGGTCCAAACTTATCCTTCATTCTCTTTCTTATTCACTGCTATGTGGCCGTCAGTGTTATACAACATAATTTTGGTTCGCAGACAATAAAAACAATGTATAACTAGATGCAGACAGCACACATTGGTCTCATTTTGACCCTAAGAGCTGCTTTTACAATATATCTGTACTGGCGCAACCCATATACTTTATAATATGAACTAAATCAGGATAAGCCCTAAATAATTTCTTGTATTTAGTTGTTGCCACCATAAGTGAAGGCACATGGATTGGGTGCTAGAAAAAATATAAAAATTGCAATTTGAGTAGCTCTAAATTAATGAAACACGCATGCAAATTGGAACAAAATGAAAACTATATCTTTACATCCCAGTGGGAGAACAAATTACATTAGAAAGCATTGGAATCCACCCTTAATTGAGACATGCCATTTATTCCTATATTAAACTGCTGTAATTATATCCAATATAGTCTGGGGGAAATATTACATCATTTCAAATCGTTCTTTGTACAATTCTGCATGGCGTATTAACTTAATGCCCCGTGCACAACAGCGACTGCAAGCCAAGCACAAGAGCACATATTGAAAGAAAATAGCATTTCCATTGACTGCCAGTACTTTATGAAAATTGATCAGCAGTTTTTAATCACGATGTCATCCTCGGCGGGTGCACTTCTCAGGGGGGTGGTACCTGTGCCTGGCGTAGCAGTTAAGATGGTAAATTCCCTCCTGGTAGATTGTTATTGAGTAGGCCGAGTCTGCAGAGAGAGCTCGCAACATTGATTGTGATCATTAAATATATCCGGGCGAAATGGCAACATGGCATTCCCTCCGTCAATGTGTGTGCTGAACAAAGCCACAATCAAATCAATTTACTCATAATTATTCTGCGAGAGGCGAGATTTATCACGGTCAATCGTAAGCAAATGAAAATAAAATCAGCAGAGGGAGAAATAACTTGTAAATAGCGCTAATTGAAATATCGGGTATTTGCTTTGCGCTCGTGTGACTTTGTTGGTGCATTTTTTTTGTTTTGTTTTTTTTTCTGCAGGAGACAGAGAAGGGTGGGCGAGGGCTTCCAGGATGAAACCGGGGGGTCAGGAGATCAAGGTCCTGGCGGTGCTCGGAGGAAGTGTAGAGCATTGATTAGCTATCAGATGATTCCGATAAAGCCTGATCAATGGGACTTTGTTTGCGAGCCAGACGGGACCCTCCCCTACCAGACACACCCACTGCAGCAGCACACAGAGCACCAGGCGAGGGCGAGGGTGAGGGGACCAGAGGGAAGGGGAGGGGGGGCGAGAGGGGGTGAGAGGGGAAGAGGGGTCTATCGGGTCCGGGATGGAAGGAAGCCATGGTCAGACACAATGGAGTCAGGAAGAGGGACAGGTTATAGGGTTTGGTAGTAGTTACACTAGACCTGGTCCTGGTCTGGTTCCAGTTTAGACTTGGTTTGATCCGGTTGAAATCCTGGATAAGCTCTGGCCAAATCCAGTTTTATCTTTCTGTGTTTGCGATTGCGGTTTTGCTAGTTGCATCATATATATTTTTTTGCTTTAAAATTGAATATTTTAACATTTTATACAAAAAGTTGAATAACAATCCTGTTTCATTTCACATTTTTCTGAAATGAAAACAGGAGTCTTCTGACGCAACAAGGATTTTTTTTTTTTTTTTTTTTTTTTGTGGTTGGGCCAAGTATTGCTAGTTCAATTCCTGGATATGACAATTTAGTGAATGTCTCCCCTGCTCTTCAATCCTATTTTATGCATTACTGCCCTAATACCTATGGACCTAGTACACAAAAAATAGAGAAAATCATTCAGAATGTGTCTGGATATAGGTCATCTCCAAGTGCAATGAAAAAACCATGAGCTGCAATAAATATAGAAGACAGTTCTTAGTTGTATGTATAATGAGTCATAGAAGTTAGTTATTCAACCCTCTACAGCTCAGATCTAACTGTTGAACTGAAAACTTTCCTCTTCTACAAAGAAAAAGTACCCATGATATATATTGGCCCCCCAAAATGATTGTCTCATCTGTTATTCATTGAATGATAAATCAGTATTGTAATTATCTTCACAGGGTATTGTTTAAACAAGATGGAACATTATTTAAAGGTCTGTATCTATGGTGGTTAATAACAACTTTTCAGAGACTAAATTTGATCTTGTTTAAGCCTAATTTAGTCCTGATCTAGACTTTTGGTTTGATCTTTTTCTAGGCCTGGTTTAGTTCCAGGTTTAGTCTCAATTTGGAAATATGTTGTGTTCAATGGTGATTTGTTTTATGAACATCTGTCATTACTGCTTACCTTTAAAACTCGTATAAACTTTTGTCTATGAATAAAATCTGTGTAAATCTTAATTTTTAGTGTACTAAAAATGACGTATGAAACAAGTTCTGATTTCTGCTTAATCACTGTACAAATTGAAAGTTGGCTGAGACTTTTTGGGCATTTTTCCAAGAGACAATTTGGACCCCTGATTTAAGAGCAAATGAAGCGATTACGATCTGTGTTAGAAAGCCTTAGAGAGTGCTGAGAGAGTGAACGGGGTAAACTCTGTAAACCAACACACCAACACTATAAATAAAAGTCTGCTCCAGGACGGTCCAGTGTGGAGCAGATCTAAGCACAGGTTACAGTGAGACAAGGTTAGTACAGTGATAGTAACTTGATCAACTTGCTAGCTCTTAATGCTGTTAGCCTTATTTATGCTGCTTCAGTTGTTTAGACTGCTTCAGTTTTTTACACTGCATCAATGCTCCAGAGGGCCTTACACTATGAAAATACTCCAAATGTATGTTTTTCCAGTATATATTTCCAGTTTACTCTGTGGTTCCTTTTGTTAGATACAGTAGTTTTGGAAGCTTTGCATTTTTGTATTTTTAATAGTATTTTAAAGATAGTATTTTATGCATTTATAGCCATTATGCATTCATGTCAACATTGTTTATTTAATCTCATTGTTTTACTTGTTTTTTTAAATGTTATGTTTATGCAGTTATTTTAAATGTATTGCACCTTTTTATCAGGGCATTGAAGGTCATGGTTGGCATAGTTATGTACTACTAGCAACTGTATTATTCTATTATATGATTCATCGGTACGGTATCATTAACCAAAGGCCAACACAGACTCATTGATTCAGCACCACGGACAGAGATCTAATGATATTTTTACGCGTGTCTCTATAGCCTCCCAATGTTGTTTTCATTCTTTTATTATGTTTTACACTTGTTTTGGCCCATCCACTCCCAGGCCTGAGCACATGTGGACTCCCTGTGCTGTACCCGGTCTATCAGCGTCTGGTGTGAGGTGTGAGAAAGGACAGTGATAAGGCACCTGGACTGTCAGATTATGAGGCAGTATCAGTGGAGACAGGAGGAGCACAAGTGAACAAAGCATGGCACCATTCCCACTCACTGTACGGAGGTCCCACTTGCACGAGGACGCAGGACATGTGAGAGCCGGGCCAGGGGTCACTGATCAGGGACAGACTACATCACACGAGGTTAACACTTGTCCAGTGTGAATGGAATTTTCTGAAATCAGTTAAAACACCTTATTGTGAAACTGCAATGTACCTCGACTACTCAACTACTCACATCCTGCAAAGCTGTTGTGGTGGCCTGTAAATTCTGCACTGGTTTACAATTTGTATGTTGTAGTGGTTGCTGGTGCAAAGGGAAATGGGGCTCTCATCAGTACAGCTTTCACTGTGTTCACTTGTGGTGATGTGGTCAAGTCAAAGGAAGTGATTGCAGCTGTTGGGTGTGTGACAGTTTTCTTCACAAGAAATTCTTTGAGTTGTCTAGTTTAGTGTATCTGTTACTCAATATGTAGTGTTTTCTGTAGGGGAAAGTATATTGTATTTCAGAAACTTAAAAAAACACAGACATTTTGTGCAAAGTTTGTATTGTTTTTCTGTGTCTGGATAGGTTTCCCCCAGCAGTAAAATGATATGATATACCTATAGCAGAGATTTTGAATCTAAAAGGGAGTTTTTCAGTTGCAATAGAAAATAACAATTTAAAATTAAATTCAATTCAATTAATATACTTTTTAGTTCTACCAGATTGTAACCAATTTGATGCTACTGATGCATCTTTTGGAGAAATGTTATGAATTTCTTTCATAATGTCTTTCAAAGTACTTGCAAACACTGCAAGAAGTTGCAACTCACTGCAGTAGATTACATTGTAGTCACCTTATGATACCTACTTTTCAGTTGCAACATCTCTCTTCCTAATTGTCTTTAAATGAACTTTTAGAATAAAAAACTCAACTCACTAAACTTTGTACAAAATCATTTTATTAAACAAATTCTCCATTTGTGTCTCCACAGATTTCACCAGAACCTCCACCTGCGGCACCCGGACTGCCACAAAGCACAATCCCACTGCAAGCGTCAGGGAGACCCAACCTCCACACTCATACCACTAACAATGGACTGACCACGGATTCTTCCACATCTGTCAACATGGACACTCTTACCTCTAACTCAAGTGTAAATGAATCCATAGAAACATAGCAAACACAACCTGATGTCCACGCCCCTGTGTGATTTTGTAAATATTGTACAGAGGAGACATAGGGACCTTGCAAAGAGTTGTTAAACATATTGCAGAATTCTGTACATAGACTTAAAATCATACCTTTAGTGTTTATATATCCACCATTAGTAATCTTTATTTATTATGTGCTGAGAATAATTTAGCAAAATATGGCCCATGCATTTTTCAATACTGAAGAAATTAGCAAAGTACGCTATAGCTAAGGGAAGACATCATATACAGTGCACTAAATCAGATGCATATGTTAGCTAGACAAATCATTGATTTAAAGCAACACTATGTAACTGAGATGTTAAGTTTAATTAGTTCATTTTAAAATTCCCCCAACATTAAAGGGTCAGTAGCTTCTTTACATAGAACTGGATGCTATGCTACTGTGATGTTAGCTTGTCAGGGAATGCTAACGATAGGGCATTTTAGCTGTAGTATTAATACATAAAATTAGTCCTGTATTTTAAAACAATGTTATAAGCCTAAGTTTCAAAGCATCTTGAAAATGTATTCTCCCCAAGCATAATTTGCATTTTTTTTTTAAATATTTATCGTCCAAATATAATCTAATTTCGCAGGCTTCAGGTTACACACAATTATTAAAACACGCTAGGCGAATGCTGAGTGAAGTTTAGAAACCCCCTTAAGATTAGTTAGCCAGCTTAGTTTAAAATATGTGAATGAGTTTACATGTCCATGAAAGTTCAGTAGTGTTGCTTTAAATACAACTTAATAGGAACGAAAAGACTGAAAGTTACAAAAGTGAATACCTCCCCTTATTTGGTCCTAATATTCTACCCATCCATCCCTTCCATTGTAAACTACCACCTCCTTTGTAGACACCTTGTATTATAGCGTGTTACCCATCCACACATAGACTTTGCCCAGTCTTTAGTTTAGCCCTATGGCCCCCCTCACAGAGCCTGTACCCCCCTGCACCGCTCAGACACCAGCCTCTCACTCAGCTCCCATAGGCTGACCGCGCTCCCTTCGTCCTGGGCCTCGAGGGAGGGCAGGCACCGGAAGCAGTTGTTGAAGTACATGCCTCCCAGGCCCTCCAGCTCCGGGGCCACTGCGAGGTACACGGTGGTGGCTGCTCCTTGTTGCTGTAAGGACACAAAGAGAAGAAGATGGAGAGGTTAGTGATCGAGGAGGCAAGGGACTAGGAGACAGAGGAATATAGCGTGGCCAAGAAAGCAATGGACTAGAATGCAAGGGACTACAGATATGCAGGGTGAGAGACCAAGGAGGCAATGAACTAGGAAATGAGGGACTACTATACAGCAAGTCCGTACTCAAGGGGGCAAGGAACTAGGGAGCTAGGGATGGCTAATACACCAATTGGGCAACTATGGAGGAAGGAACTACGGACACATCAAGAACGGGACCAAGGAACTAGGAGCCGAGGGACTACTGACACACCAAGAAAGCGACCAAGGAGGCAAGGAATTAGGAGACGAGGAACTACTGACACACGGACAAGTGGACTACGGTTCTGTCCAGAGAGGTCTTGTCCTCAACCACTCCGAGGACAGACTGAGAGGACAGGGACACAAGAGACAAGAGCTGTTCCCCATCGGCACAGCTGCTACTGTACATATATTTATATAACAGTATATTTATTTATTTGTCTACTGAACTATAATGGGACCATGTCAAAGCAGAGAGCAGGACACCAGCGTTGGTCTGGAAGGGAATCACCAGGACAACCACAGCTTTTCAATGTGTCTATAATAATGTGTATATTTTGTGTTTAAGGGTTGTCCAAGTGTGTTAAGGAAAATCTGTTCACAGCGTATGTAAAAAGTAAGAAACACATTTAAACAGGCTACATGACTTTCTAAAATATTTCATTATGATTAAGCAAAACACATTTCATTTGACATATGTGTCCTTTATGGTGTATAATCTAGGGCTGCACAATATTTTGTTATATTATCAATAAGAAAATAAATATATGGCTATGTTCTTTATCAGACAGAAAACTATGATTTTTTACTGAGGTGATGTCAAGTTTGTAATTTATAGTGCACCTTTAAACTGTATTGTGTCTTTATTTTATTTTTAATGATCTCTCCAAATTGGCAGAATGTCATAGTGTCATTGATTGATTGATTTTATAGTCATATGGTGCTTTTCTGTAGCCCTATGTAATAAACTAGGTTAATCATTGATATGACAGTATTTAATATATTTTGTGATACAAGAAGCTGATAAAATTTAAGTAAAAAATGTAATTTGGAAAAAAAAAAAATCTTCACAACTAAATCAAAATCAAAATATAAATCAATTAAATAAACAGCAAAAACCATCTATTTACATTTTTCAGTTAATATAAAAAAGTAATACAAGTGTCAGATGAAAAGGTGATATATAAATATATAAATATATAAACTGAAGAAAATGAGATATTGTGCAGCCCTAGTACTCATCATTTGCACTGGTGTCCTTGGCCTCCTGTGACTTGAAACACATTACTTCTCATAGTTGTGTTTTGCTTAATGGGCATATTTCGATCAAACATGGAAATGAAGACATGTTAAATAGCTTACGCTTAAATTACATTGAAAAATGTGTTTCTAACTTGTAAAGCTCAACCCGTGTAATTAACAGGATAATACCACTCAACACGTCCAGACCTACTCACACTCATTCTCAATAAGTCATTACATATTTAACTCTTCACCGGTGTAAAATCCACTCCTTCAACAGTAGAAATGACTCCGTTTGCTGTCATCTCACTTGGACATAACCTGCTCCGTTCTACACGGCCGCCCTGTCACTTTGTAATTAGCCTGGATGTTCTCAGAGAAGAGAGGGAGAGTTTAAAGAGCAGCAAAATAAACATGTCATAGAGAATTACACACATAACCAGCTCGCTCAGACACGGAGCTTTCAAGTGCTCAAAGCTCCTGCCATAGCTTCCCTTACAATCTGCTATAGAGGGGCTCAATAGAAGAGACCAGAGCAGAATTATTTTGTCTGAATTTTGCAGTTCAAATTTGTCCAAATATTAAATTGGATTTGTTATATATTTCAAATATCAAGAATCAATTTACAGAGGATTTTTTAACATTTGACAGAAGATTGAAAAATTACTGGTGCAAAACAAAAATCAACTTCATAGAGGTTTAAATGACAGGGTCTCCAGACCAATTTCAGGATTATATAGCAATTTTCTAAATCTAAATTGCATTCACAGTGCAAAAAAAAAAAAAAAAAAGTCCTGTTATTGTAACTGTGTAACTAAATACGTTATTCACATGCATTTCAGAATATGTTTGGCGAGTGCATAATTGCAGGATTTAAGACCCCACTGAGGTGGGATATTTAGTTTTCTGCAATAACAAATTATATTGGCTGAATAATTGCAGCTTTTGCATTTTACTAATTGCAACCGTTTCCAATTCTGATCGAGATTTCAATTACTCAGAGAGTATTCAGAGAGAGAAGCAAGGATAGGGTTAGATACATTGATCTAACTGGCACGCACATAGTCAGTCGCCAACATATATGCATAACGAACCACATGTAACGCCAACTGAACAGCTTCCTGGAGCAGATGTGAAACAAAATGCACAAGAAATGCAAATGTGGAGATTTGTAGAAATGTTTCCGAGTTAAGTTGTGCCAGTAGTCCTCTCGCGCGCTGTATGGCTAGTGTAGCAGAGGCAGATTGAGCGTGTTTGAAGTCGCGTCATGATGAGAGGGAGGCTAGCTAACAGCCACATGAAACGCCCATGTCCCTGCCTGTCTCTCACCTGCCCCTCTGCCGATAAGTCCATGTCAAAGCTCTATCAAAGACCACCAAATGCCAGCCCAGTGTCTCCGGCTCTGAGCTTCACAGGCAGGCGAGCTCCAGTCATCTCGCCCTGCGCACAGGCCATCTTGATTTAGCTCTGCTCAAATGTTGGACCCTCTGAAGATTTCTGACTCTGCGGTGCCCCCTTGAACTGGGCTGACTTTCACAGCGGTTTGTTAGCGGCTGGTGCGGTTCAAATGAGCCGGGAATACTTTCAACGTGTAATCCAGATGCATGGACTGAGATCAGTTTGTGTGTTTCATATTAGTTTGAATTTAGCTACTCTGATGGAAATTCAAGTGAACGCCATAAGAAATCCCAACAGCGGTTTAAAGGTGCACTGTGGAACTTTTCTGGTGTAGGGCCTTGCTTGTCTCCTTGGGGATGTTTTCTTTGCCTGGAATGTTCCACTGTATGACATTAAACATATCTACCTTGTATTTGTTTATTATGCTTTTTTACTTTAAGTGGGCTCCACTCTCCACAGATCTAACCCATAGCTTGGTTTCCATGGAGATAAGAATAGATGAGATTTATGTCAGAGTGCGGAACATTCAGACAAGACAAGCATGCGACTTACCCTCACCAGAAAGGTTACATTGTGCACAACTATAGTTAAAATATCAGATTTATTTATTTACTTAAATTTTTTTTTTGCACTGGATGCCCTTCCCAATCAGCGCCAATATAATGCAGGACAATGTGGGACAATGCAACAACAGTATGCACTTAAATGAGGTTCCAACCACAAACGTCAAGTCTTTCTGTAGAAATTTGTTGGAGATGAAGTTAAAAATGACATGTTACACAGTTTTTTATTGACTATTCAAATTTTAACCATTAATCTTGTACTAATAATTTTCCCAGACTAATTACAGTGGCTCATCAGCTTGTATGGGAAGCTTAAATGAAAAAGAAGTCTGAATGAGATGGAATATTTAGGAGAAATTCAGAGCAATATCAAGTGATGGAACATAAAACAGGCTAATTATTTGATGCACACCACAGCCACATATCCATAGGTGCATGAGCATGTGTCCACATACACAACACCGAAGACAATCTGACCAAAACGTACATGACCAAGTGTACAGAAAGACTTCCAAATGTGCAAATATAGGCCTACAGTCTGTAATATAACAACATGGTGAATTTTGTTGTGTGTCTTCTGAAACTTGTGACTCATGACATGTTGTACATATATGCTAATGCTAGCTAACATCTGTGGTGTTTCGGACAGAGGTGTTTGGAACTGTTCACCCGAGCCATGCATATATGATAAGCAATGATAGTATAGTATGCATATGATAAGCAATGGCAATACAAATACAAAGGTCAACTTGGACTCGTGTTTTCAAAATTCAAAAAGCACTGCAGAAAATATCAGTTTAAATATGCCTTGAATTCAGAATATTTATCTTCACACAGTATTTTTTTCTATGGGGTGCTAAAATAACTACACTACAATAACAATGTAACGCCGTATAACTATAGATATAACAGGGCATGACACATTTTAAAGGAACCTTACATTGGGCAAAGTATTTTGAGTTTATTTCAATATTTCTTTCTTCTCAAAGCACAAGTTACAGTACAGTACAGTACAGTTACAGTTATTTATTAGGACAATAACATTAAAAGATAAAACATCTTAAACCATTGTTGGATTATTTTGCCAAAAAGAAATTTATTATTTTTACAGTGAATCATCTAAAAACAAGTAAAAATGTGTCTTCTCATCAACTACACAACATAAGATAAACATTCTGAATTAAACCCCAACTAATACATTTTTTTTTTGCAGTGTGTTTTAGCAATATGGCAAACCAAAGGAATAATTATGAGTTATGGGTCTAATGAGAATAATGAGTCTAATATGGCAGCACACCTCTAGTTTCTTCCTAGATATTTTGCAATAAGTAACAACCCCCGTCTTCCTATTCAGACACCTGAAGGACCTCATGGACTCTCGACAGAATGGTCATTGTACAGAACTGCGCAATAATCTGTTGTTTAAAAAGCGTATCAAAAGCAAAAAGGGTTAAAGATGTGACGTGTTCTTTTGCTGTGTTCTGTTTAGTGTCTTCATCAGCTATAGGTTTTCTGACCCTGTGCATGTGACCCCCAAACATGTGTAACATTCACCTTTGACCCGGTTGTAAATAAACCCACTGTAGAGCTGCTGTTTTTGGCCCATCCCTGTATATAAGCATTGTAAATATGAAAACACCTATGCATGCAAAAAAACAAAATAGCAATTCTTTCAGGTACTTTTATAACCTCAAGTTCTCATATGGCATGCAC